GGGATGAGCCCGAGCCACCCCTCCGAGGGGCCCGTTAGCCCTTTGGCTTCATTATTCAGGGCCACGACTTACCTTCTGCTCAATGAAGCCAGAACAGGGCTGCCACCATCCACACCCCCGGGATGGGGCCAGGCCCTGGCAGGGCCTCCTCGGAAGGAGTAACTATCGCGCACATGAACTAGGCAGCCGAGTAGCGGACACTCGGTTGTGGCCGCTGTCCTTAAATTCTGCAGGAAAGCGCAGGAGCTGGCGGGGCCCCTGCTCCCCAAGCCAGCGCGTCCTCGCTGTGGGAGGCCAGCAGGGCAGGGCCCCCGCCAGGGTCGGTCCCAAGTCCCCAGCCAGATTCCTGGGCTCCCTCTAGCTCGCCATGGAGGGCGCCTTGGCAGCGACGGGTCTCCTGTGTTTGGAAGATGAGACCACACGCTGTTGGAACTCCCGTGTCTGGGGTGATGCTGCCCAGGAAACCTGCCTCCTGTCTTATTCGCGGTGGGGCTGGGGACACCGCAGCACGGCCACCTTGCCTAGGTGTGCCCACCGCGCTCATGCTCCCCGCCGGCCCAGCTCGGCCACCTTCCTGCTCATTCCTGGCCACCCAGGGCCCCTTCTTCCTGCTCGCTCCCGCCTGCCCTCAGCTGTGGCCCTGCCTCCTCTGGCCTGCCCGCTTTGCTTGTGGGGAGCTATGTGCACCCTCAAACCTGTTTCTGTGCACCCTGCTGCCTCCTCGCTGGTCTCCCAGCCGTGGTTCTGGCCCCTCTGCTCACTCCCCACCTGCCCTGGCTCCCTGCTGCCCTGCCCAGTGTTGGAAGCCTCCCCTCCTGCCTGGGGGGGCGGGGGGGGCGGCTCCTCTTCCAGCCAGGCTCCCGCTCAGCCCAGGTCCAGGGTGGGGGGTGGGGTGGGGGTGGGGCAGACCAGCCAGTTGCCTGAACTCGGGCTGTTCCCTTCCCCGCCCCACCCTGCAGGCCTCATGACCCACCACTGGCAGCCTGTGCCTCCCACTGGACTGGACATCCCCGTGGGTGGGGACCGCGGGCCTGTGGCAACCACGCCTTGGTGACAGTATTGCTGACCTCCCGGTCCCTGGAGGCCCAGGGCAGAGCGAGAGCCAGGACTTGGAGAGGTGGAGATGTTCAAGTGCTGAACTCAGCGACACACCCATTTCTTCGCTTTAGATTCGTGATTCTTGGGCAACAGGCATTAGGTCACCCAACGCTGCGGTTAGAAAATCAGATTGCAGGGGACACGCTCAACTTTCGGGTACGGACAGGCCTCGCACACTGGGCTCACAGTGCATCGTACATCTGGAGTCCGACGAGCTACCCGGGTACAGGGGTGTTCCCAGCTTCCCGGGCCACAGGACACGTCCCTGGGACCTCACCCCCGTCCCAGGTGCTAACGGCAGCCCTTTGGCTCAGGTCTCAGGTCCTCACATCCCCCGCTCCTGCGGGACAGACTGTCCTGTCCCCTGATCTCGGGGCGCAGGGTCTCCCTCCAGCAGCGGGCAGCGCAGCCGCCCTGTGTTAGGGCAAAGCGCTGGTGGATGGAGAGGGAGCCCGCCCTGAATCGCGGGGTAACCTTTCCATGGGCTGGGCGGTGCGGCAGGGGTCAGGGAGAGAGGCGCACCCGGGCCGACAGCCCCTCCCACACAGCCCTGCTGAGGGCCGGGGTCACACATTTGGGGGAGACGGAGTCTGGGGGCTGCGCCGCGAGCTCCCACCCGAGGGGAGGGCAGGGTTGGTGACCTGAGCAGCCTGGAGACGTGGACTGCAGGGCACCTGGGATGACCAGCTGGACGCTGCAGGCGTGGAGGGCCGTGCTGTGGGTCTCAGGACCCCTGCCACGTGCAGGCCACGGGGCGGGGGTGCCAGGCTGGTGCGAGCGACAACCTCATCCATCACCAGGGCCCACCCTTGGCTCGCTGCTTGGTTGTTTTCGGGTCAGACAACAGATGCGTCACTGAACACTCGGTGAGCAAAGCCGTGTCTGGATGGCACCAAGGTTCCGCGGTTGAGACAGTGACGAGACCCTGGTGGTCAGGTCTGACTCTGGCGGAAGGAAGCACAGGCGTGGGTGTCCAGAGCTCAGAAGTGGCAGAGTGTAGGAGGGCCCTGTGCTGGGGGCCCTGGGGGCTGCTGAGCGGGGCGGGAGCTGGGTGCAGAGGGGGGCTGCTGAGCGGGGCGGGAGCTGGGTGCAGAGGGGGGCTGCTGAGCGGGCGGAGCTGGGTGCAGAGGGGGCTGCTGAGCGGGGCGGAGCTGGGTGCAGAGGGGGGCTGCTGAGCGGGGCGGGAGCTGGGTGCAGAGGGGGGCTGCTGAGCGGGGCGGGAGCTGGGTGCAGAGGGGGGCTGCTGAGCGGGGCGGGAGCTGGGTGCAGGGGGGGGCTGCTGAGCGGGGCGGGAGCTGGGTGCAGGGGGGGGCTGCTGAGCGGGGCGGGAGCTGGGTGCAGGGGGGGGCTGCTGAGCGGGGCGGGAGCTGGGTGCAGGGGGGGGCTGCCTTGTGGCTGGAGGTCCGGGGGAGAGGCCGGTGCAGGAGTGGCTGGTAGGACAGGTGTGCAGACGTGTCAGGACACGGGGGTGGGGCACGAGATAGGGTCGCAGAGGCGGGCTGGGTCAGGTGGAGGCCCTGGCGACCCCGGTCAGGGCAGCTGTATGAGGGTCCTGGGAAGTCATGTGTGGGGTTGAGCAGAGACTGTGAGTTGTGGGTCTCGAAGGTCCCCTGGGCTGGGCCACACGTGGAGGCAGGAGGCGGGCGACGGGCTGGCTGGCTGTGGGAAGGGGACCGCAGGCCTCGTGGGAGATCGGATGGGGTCGTGAGCCCAGACAGATGCCTCCTGGGTTTCCGGCTGCAGCGAGTGGACAGTGGGAGGAGGTTCACTGGAGACGGCGTCTGCGGGGACAGCGGCAGTTCCGTGCGCAGTGCCGCCTGGTCGGTGGCAGCGCGCTCACCCCCTTGAGGCACTCACGAGGGGACCACGGGGATGTGACGCCGCCATGACAGCTGCCCTGCGTCACTGCCCAGGCGGGAGGCAGACGAGGCAGACGAGGCAGAGGGGGGTCAGGCTGGGGAGCGAGGCTCCGACTAGGACTGTTTGAAGTTGTGGGTGAGACAGCCCCGGGGGGAGACAGGATGGCTTTCGGGCTCGTCCAACATTTCATAGTTTGGAAAACAAGGGGCTCATGACGGCGCCCCGAGGAGCCGCCGGGAGGCAGGGCAGTGGGGGCCTGCGGGGGAGGGGAACGTTGCCCAGGTCAAATGCCAAGGAGGCCAAAGCAGCAGCTGAGTGCTGGCCTGGGGAAGGTGCGGTCCATCCGAGCAGCCAGGCAGTGGTGCTGGGCCATCCTCGCCGGCCCCACCGTCCTCCTGACCGGGGCACCTCGGGCGAGGAGCCAGCCCCTCTGTTGTCCTCACCACCCCTCGCCTCCCCCGGACGCTGTGTAAGCGACCAGCTGGCCAACGTCCCGTGGAAGGCAGGAAGGGGCCAGTCTGCGCTCCTGGGCTGCGGTGTGGCATCGCCCAGGGGCAAAGCTGACCAGGACACGGAAGGGCCGGACCCCACTGGGGACACAGCGCCGACACTCCAGCCCATCTCTGTGTCTGTCTACTTAGCGATGTTCGCCCTTCACGGCTCAGGAAAAATGACCAAGAGTGCTACTGACTCTAATTTTAATTTGTCTACTACTCGTTAACGATGTCTATTTAAGGCATTCATTAAAGGCCCATGAGGTTAATTAAATGGACAATTCCAATACGGTTCTATTAGAACCCCCTCAATTAAATTAATATTATAGACGTTTAACAGATGTCTTAATTGGGCATTATAGCTGAGAAATGCAAACTGAATCAGAACTAAAGCTGCTGTCCAGAAAGGGCTTCTCGCCGTTGATTCATGGCGTTTGGGGGATGTTCGAGTTTACTGTTCGGAAGCGGGGAGAGAAGCCACCTGCCGGTCCTCCCCAGCACCCGGGAAGTGCACCCCGAGAGCCCACGATCTCCCACTGCTGTCCACGCGCCAGAGCTGGAGACTCGACACCATCAGGAGCCTACGGTCCCTGAACACTGGTGATTAGAGGCCCAGCTGGGGTCTCAGCACGTGGGTCTCCTGGGCCCACCCCTCGGGTCGGGCTGCAGCCCAGAACCTGGCTGTGTCACGCCGGCCCTGCTGGTCCTGGGGCAGCGGGTCCCAGGGTCCCTCCCCAGGAAGCCCAGACCTCACCTCACGGCCCCAGTGGACAGAGGTGACAGGACAGGGTGAACGGCAAGGCAGCGCCACACCTCGGCCACAGGTGAGAGCTTCCCTGCAGCTCCTGGCCCCTCTCCCCTCCCACTCAGGCTGGCAGAGCCTCCCGTCCTGTGGGTTTGGGACTGGCAGCCAGAGCCCCAGGCCCCTCCCACCTTCCTCCTGCCGGCCAGAGCCCAGTGGGCCGAGATGGCTCCGAGATGGCTCTGCAGCCCTGCCCTGGGCCTCCGGGAGCCGCTGGCTTCAAATTCCACAGCTGCTCAGATCCACAGCCCCCCCTCCAGGGAGCCCCCTGCCCAATCCCTTCCTCCAGGGAGCCTCCTGCCCAGCCCCTCCTCCAGGGAGCCCCCTGCCCAGCCCCCCTCTCCAGGAGCCTCCTGCCCAGCCCCCCCTCAGGGAGCCCCTGCCCAGCTCCCCCCCTCCAGGAGCCCCCTCTCCAGGAGCCTCCTGCCCAGCCCCCCCTCAGGGAGCCCCTGCCCAGCTCCCCCCCTCCAGGAGCCCCCCCTCCAGGAGCCCCCTGCCCAGCCCCCCCTCCAGGAGCCCCTGCCCAGCCCCATGAGCACTTCTCCCCCAGCCAGACAGCCCAGGCCCCAGAGGGGGGCAGGGAGTTCAGGTGCTGGCAGGCACTGGGGGCCCCGAGTTCTAACTCCTGCTGCAGCGCCCCATCCACTCTTCTCGCTTTCTTGAGACAGGGGAGGAGAGATGCGTCAGGTCGGAGTTGGTGGCAAGCGTGCCCTAAAGGAACGTGTCGCAGACGCTGCCTGCTGACCTGGGGCCAGGCCTCGGCCGCCCCTCCCCCCCGGCTGCAGGAACCACACCTGCACCTGGGCTGTCTACACGTGTTTTACTGTCACGACACCTGGGTCACCACAGACCACGAACAAACAGGAGGAGAGGTGGAAACGCAGCGTCCCACGAGGCCGCCAGCGCGGGTCCCGCTCTCCGCGCAGCGAGGAACCCTCAGGCCCGCGACTGCTCCCGGCTCCCGGCTCCCGGCTCCACGCAGCCGGGTGTTTCCTCCCAGGTGAGCAGCTGCTTCGACACTGTCCCCGCCTGCGGGGGGCCCTGCACAAGCGGCCCGTGCTCCACGGAGACCTGGTGTCCAGGCGCCTGTTTCCGCCGCCGGCGACCGCGTCGGCCGGTGCTCACAGGTCGATGGTTCCCTTGGCCTTGAACTTCTTCGCCGACCGCTCGCTTGCCCGGAGCTGGAACTTGCTCCCGTGAATGTAGGACACGAAGCCGTCGGTTTCCACAGAGAACACGCAGTTCAGCTTGGGGATCACTGAAGGCAGAGAGGAGGGGTCCGCTCACAGAGCTGCCCCCACGGCGACTGGAAACCAGCTGCAGCCCTGGCCGGGGGCTCAGGGTAGCGTCAGCCCGAGGGCCAAAGGGTCTCGGGTCGGTCCCAGTCCAAGGTGCTCACCCTGGTTGCAGGTCTGATCCCTGGCCTAGTAGGGGTCATGCGGGAAGCAACGGACCTCTCTCCCCCTCCCTTCCTTCCACTCTAATTAAAAATCAATGGAGAAATATCCTGGGTGAGGATTAACAGCAACAAAAAAAAAGAAATAAGCTCACAGGAAGATGGTGGCCATGAGCCCAGCCCGGGCCTGCGGGGTCCCTCCCTCTGCCACAGGCCCAATCAGTCACCCCCTGAATATAACTCAACGGCTGCCTTTCAGGCTGAGGGCTGTGAGCCAACCTCCGAACCAGGACCTCCCAGGACAGGCCAATCGCCTTCCCACGTGCTTTCAGATGGGCTCATGGCTCTACGCTCGGGAAAACCTGTGACCGTGTCTGAGATTAAAACCAGAGCGAAAGAATCTACAGGGAAATGGACAGAAGCAGCAGGAAAAACTGGCTCAAAAGTTAAAGCAAACCCCCAGGTGTGGTTTTGAACTGCCAAGACCGTGCGCTGCTGCCACCGTCGAGAGCCTCCTGGGCCCACGGGCTCAGCGCCGGCGCAGCTCCCGGACCCCGGGCAGTGCTGCTCGGCTCCCTGCCCGCCCGTGTCCGGCGGCACTGCCCGGGGAGGGCGAGCCCCGAGGGCGGCACGGCTCGGAGCCCACCGTGCCCGCAGTCACGCACCTCTCAGGCGGTCTTCTTTGGTGATGATTTTGAAAACGTGCTTTGTTTCCTGAAGAAGGATCCCTGTGATGCCCACGTAGGAGGGGCATTTGGACTTCGTGACTGCAAAGGAAGAAGGGTCCCCACTCAGTTTCTGTGGGGCGGGGCCCCCAAGGAGGGGCGCAGAGGGCAGGGCCAGGCTGCGTGGGGACCCAGCGTCCTGGTCCACTGCCTGACTGCAGCCTTTGTGAGGGCCGACGTGTCCGTGGGGGCCCACAGCCCGCAGTGTGGGCGGTTTGGGAGCAGAGGTCACACGTGTGTCCCGCACCGAGGCCCCATCAGGCTGTTAGGACAGGGCCGTGTCACGTCCAGGATCTGAATGGACCCCATCCCTCCTGTCTCCCCACGGCCGCCTGGCAGTGAGCGAGGTGAGCACCTCCGCCGGCAGCGGGCCTCACCTGACCCACGCCCCCACGCGGCAGCGGACGTTCCCCGAGCACCGGGCTCGCCCGGTGGTGCTGGGCACAGGCAGACCCCAGGGAAGGGACGGGAGAGGGACCTGGATGAGGGGTATTCCGTGAGCACAGAACTCGCTGGGGAGGGGGGCAGCAGATGCGAAGGCTCCGGGGCAGCCCAAGCCTGCTGTGGGGGAGGCAGTGCGCAGGCCGCTGTGGCTGGACCTGGGCCCAGGGCCTTGGAGGGGCCGGCAGAGCACCGTGGGGGCAGTGTCAGCAGGGGGGCGCCAGGCAGGTCTGCGCAGTCCAGGGAGGTGGGGGCTCAGGTTCAGTGCTAGCACGTGCTGCAGCGCTGGGGATGATTGGGGAAGAAGACGCGCGGACGCCTCCCTGGGCAGCCGGGTCAACAGCGTGCTGCGGAGAGGGGAAGGCCCGGGGCGGGGCTGACCTGAGGACATGCCGTGTGCACTGCCGCAGGGGTGGGGCATTCTAGGGAAAGGCCGGTGCTGGAGACGACAGCCTGGGAGGAGTCAGCTCAGAGCTGACACTTCAAACCAGGGGACTGCAGCCCTGGTCGGGGCCATGTGGGCGGCAACCAGTCGATGTGTTTCTCTCACGTCGATGTCTCTCTCTCTTTCTCCCTCCCCCTCTATCTGAAGATAAATGCAAAAATGTCCTCGGGTGAGGATTAAAAAACCACCACCACCAGGGGACTGAACGAAAGGGACTTCCTGTCCGAGGTGCCAGGTGTGGGCGAGTGCCAGCCAGGCCAGCGGCCGCTGTGCCCCGGGTAGCAGCCAGCGCCCCGTGTGGAGAGGGCAGACTGGCCAGAACCAGCCAGGCCAGCGGCCGCTGTCTCCACCCCAGTGCTGACTTGGGGACATCATGACCCTGCTACGCTGCCCGAGGGACAGCCGGCGTCGGACGCCACGTGCTCCTGGGCCTGTTACCTGCAATGACAGCGCCGTGAAGATCTGCCTTCAGCAGCTTGGCCTGGACCGCCTGGGGCTGCCTGCGAGGCAAACAGAAGCCCTGTTTCCCCGCCGGGGTCTGGAGGGGCCGCGCAGCGCAGAAAGCTGCCCCTCGGCCCGGCGACAGGGATGGCAGGGTGCGGGGTCTGCCCCAAGGGCACGGCTTCAGAACGCGACTCACGTGTCTGGCTTGAGGCCATTGCACAGGTCCCGGATGTACTGCTTCCAGAGTTCGTGGAGAGGGATGAAGAGCTCATATCTGCGGCAGAGTCAGGGGGTTGAGGGCTGGGCAACATGCACTGGGACGACGATGTTCAGGTACAGAGCCTGGCTTCACCAAGGACCCCGGGGTCCCGTCTCCGTGCAGGTGCCTCCGCCCCTCAGGCCTGCTCCCTCGCTGGCAGCCCCTCGAGAGGCCACCTTTCTGCTGCTGAGAGGGGGAGGGCACGCCTGCCCGCCCCATCCCCGCTGCCAGCTGGGCACGGCCGTGACGGCTGGAGCTCAGGCAGGCAGACACCTGAGGCCACGGGGCACTATCTGAGGAGGCTGCAGCAGCAGGACACAGCCAGGGCCACACCGCCTGGGACCCAATGGCTGGACACTGCTCAGCACACTGCGTGGATGGACTTTTCATGAAGCCCTGTCACTCTGAGGTTCCACCCTTCAGGAAGCTGGGCTAGGTGAGCCCTCATCACACAGGAGATGCTGGTCACGCAGGACCCCGTGTCAGTGACCGGTCACCCGGAAGGTGAGCGAGTGGCGGGGCAAAGCGGGGAGCAGATGAGGACCCCAAAGGCTTTCCTCTGCTGCCATCAGGTGTCCTGGTGCCTCGTGGGGCTCCATTTACACGGGCTGTGCGTTAGAGAGCCGAGGACCCCAGGCTCAAACCCCAAGTGGGCTCTGGCGGAGGCCCGCTGGGCAAGCAGCAACCCTCCCCGCCCAGAGCCCAGCTGACTTCTTGGGAGATGCCGTGGACAGAGCGACAGACTTTGCCTAGTGGACGTGGGAGGTTATTTGCTGCCGGTCTCGAGGCAGAGCCTACAGGCAGTCCTGAGATGCACATGCAGAGCGCCGGGCAAGCAGGGCGCGGTGTCCGCGGGAGGAGGCACACGCTCGCCCACAGAGTGCTGTGTTCCTTCTGGAGGCTTCTGAACACATGGGCAGCATGCTCTGGCAATAAAGCCCTAGTGGGTAATTCTGGCTACTGCAATTAAAAGCTATAAAGAGTTATATATTAAGAAATCTCAGTTGCTCTTTTTCTAAAAAAGCTGAAAAACAAACAGCCCGTTGCCATGGGCAACAGACTCACTGCAGGCCCCGCTAGGACTGGGACAGAAGCCAGAGCATCTCACCAGCCTCTTACTAAAAGCCAAACCCAAACCCAGTCCCAGTAGGTAAAGGAATGCTGCCCCCTGGTGGCAGACGCGAGAGTGGCTCCCTAATCATAGGCAGGAGCACCCAGTGCCCTGGGCAGGAAGGCAGGAAGGCAGGCCGGGTACCTCTGCTGCTCTGGTTTAATGTCAAAAAGCTTCAGCTCCCTCCTCTGCCGGGCAGAGAGGCCCCTGGACTTCTTCTTCTCCTTCTGCCTCCGGCGAGGGAAGTACTCCAGAACCACGGCCTTGCGCTGCAGCTGGTCCTCGCGGGCTCGCGGGCTCATGCGGGGCGTGCTGCGCTTCAGGAAGGCCCTCACGAAGGCCTCGGCCCGCTGGGCTCCGGGGTGCTGCGGGGACAAGACGGGACGGGCCCACTGCTGCGCCCGGCCAGGCCCTCCTAGACAGGCTGCCCTGCCGAGCGAGCGAGGCTCACGAAGCCTCTCACATGCTACCTGTCCCCACCCACACAGCTGTCTGGATCGAAAGTCACATTCAAACGCCAGTCCGTGGCTGTCCCATGGAGGGCCGGGCCGACTCCGGTTGCCGGCCCTGCTTCTCTGAGGTTACTCTGCTGACAGAAAACATCTCTCTATGGGGAAAAGGCGTCCCCGCTTTTTGGAGGGAGGGAAGCCTGAGAGATTATGATGACGACGCTCAGTCAGTACCGACGGATGCAGACGGGCTTAGAGGGGACCCAGCTGCGGCCTTGAAGGAGATGATTCCCACCCCCGGCAAGTGCACCGCCAGCCCAGGAGTTTGGGTTTCCTGGCTGCTGGGTTGCAGCCTCTTCCCTTGGGTTCCCAGCTCTGTGGACACGGCGCTGGGGAAGGAACTGCCAGCACATCTCAGCACCACCGCCGTCCCGAGCTCTCTCTGGAACATGCAGCAGAGAGCCTGTGACCACGGCTGAACACAGGCTCCTAGGTGGGATTCCCAGGCAGAGTAACTGTCATGCTGTATGTAATTCAGCAAGGAGCTCCCAGCATCGCTGCCCCGCAAGCTGCAGTCGGGTGCCTCTGCCCCAGGTCTGCCACAGCCCGGGCAGCATCTACTGAGGTCCTGCCTCTTGGCCATTTCCCAGACCCTCATTGTCCCAAGCAGGCTGAAAACAACATAGCCTGGGGGTGAAGGGGCAGTGACCAGGTCAAATGACAATGCCCACCAAGGCAGGCTTCAGGTGGACACAGCCTGGTGTCCCCATACAGTGGGACATGACACACATCAGGAAGCCCTGGTCACCCAAGCCTGCTTTGGACGGTGGGAAAGGAGATGCATGTGGAAACAGGTCATCAGAAAAACAGACGCAACAGAGCCTGGAGTGCACTGGGAAGGGGAGGAGGGAGAAACGGGAACGGACACCTACAGCAGACGAAGGCTCTGAGGACACCAGGCCACCTATGTCATCACCCTGACTTCCAGCCGAGCACCTACCTGAACATCAAGCTCTTTCGCCTCTTTCTGAGAGAGGGCATGGTAGATTACACCTAGGGGATTAAAAAAAACAGACACCAAATGATTCCTATTAGGTACAAGACCCAAGACTTTTTTGAGCTGTAAAAACAACAATGCTCATTCAGTCAGAAGGCAGGTGGTAGGAAGAGCAGAGCTTCCAAGCTTTCTCGGAAGCCTCTTACCCTGCCCTCCAGCCACACCCATCAGAAACCCCAAGGGTGGGCTTCAGAACAGTGCTGCTCAAACATCAACATGTGTAAGAACCTCTGGGACTTGTTAAAATGTAGACTCTTGGGCCCGTTCCCACATCCCGCACTTCCAGCAAGTTCGCAGATGGAGCTCCAGGTCAGCAGCCCGCACACGGAGTTGCACCAGTTCAAAATAGGGGCCACACACTAAACAAGCTCGGGGGGCCAGTGCGGCAGCCTCAAAACTCAGAGACCTAAAGTAAGCACAAAGGATGGTCTGAACTCACAACTTTTTAATGAAAAGCGGTTTACTGCACGTAGGCATGTCCTAGGCTAGAATCTTCCCTGACAAAGGTCAGTCTTTACCTTAACAGAGCCTGTCTGTTACCATTTTGCATCTATAATAACATACTTTTGGAATGTCAGGGTAACTTCCCCTTTTCCGGACCCCACCGGGCCCAACAACCACACCAGAGTAGAGACCACAAATCTCCTCACTGTTGCTGCTGTTAATTGTCCTGCACCCAACTATGTAAAAGCAGTATGTGTCTTCATTGTACTCTTATCCAATCCCAGAGGTCCCCCACTCTTTGCTTTCTCTCTTCTCCCTAATCTATCACCAGTGGTTTTCATGTAACCCATTTAGATCTCCTCTTGTAATTGTGATGTATAAAACAGGGTGCGAAACTGCCACGTTTCAGGAGCACTCTCTCAATCAGCTTTTACTTCCCAGCAACTGTTTGGCTCCAATAAACTCACAAAAATCCCCTCTCGGTCTGAATGTGGACAATACCACAGGAGCCAAGGAGTTGCTCCATCTGTAATGAAGTAACTCTTTTATTTTCATGTTTTAAATGTTATTGATTTTTAGAGAGTTAGGGAGAAAGCGATAGAAACATTGATGATATAAAACATTGATCGACTGCCTCCTTCACACCCCCAACTGGGGATCAAGCCCGAATCCTGGGCACGTGTCCTGACTGGGAATCAACCCGGGACCTCTTGATTCCCGGGTTGAGGCTCAACCACTGAGCCACCCTGGCTGGGCAGGAAGTAACTCTTTTAAAAATTATGTGAGGCAGGTGGTTGGCAATATCACATTTTGCTAAAAAGATTTTTCAGTGTAATAGCTATGAAATGTACCATACAACTGCTGGTGTCCTAAACGGACAGTGTACAGGTCTTCCTTCGAGCTCAATATGTGTCTATATCGACCAACATGGTGTCAACCTCTAAAAACGTTCACTCCTGTTTCTTACTTCATCTGTAGAAGAAAAACCATGGCACCGGGGGCGGCTGTGGATGCGCACAGAAGAATGAGACAACGGCCTGGTTGAAGATGAGGAAATCTGGTTCACGCTACACCCCGTAAAACTCATCCCAGCTCCCTTGTGCGTCCGTGTGTACATAACACGCCAAAGTAGTTACAAGTTTTCGGCACCGAGTCTAGTTCTCCCACAAACGTACGATGGGCGGACGCCCTTCTGGTGGGGAGCGACTTGCGAGGCCTGGAACCCCAGCAATGGCTGGTCGCCTGCCCCGTGCCTCGACTGGGGAGCGTGTCAGCGACAACACAGCTAAGGGTCCCTGAGCTCTCAGTACCTGCCGGGAACCGCACGTGCTTTCTCGCCGAGCCTGTGAGCGGCCCTGTGCCGTAGCCGTTACTCCCAGCATGCACGTGGGGGGCGGCCGCTGGAATGGGCCGAGACGCTGAACGCGGTCACACGGGTCCGGGGGCGCTGCGGGGGCGGAGCCGACTCCCGAGCGACGCCGGTTCGGACGCGCCCGCACCGCCCTGCCCACGGGCCCGGCGCCTTGCACCCGACTCGGGCCGCTCAGAGCTCCGGGCCGGGCAGGCCTGGACCACGGCCACCCCGGGAGGAACCGCTCCAGCCGGGCGCAGGCCGGGGCCGGCCCCACCTCCCACCCCACTGGGCGGCCCGAGCCCGGCCGCCCGCCGACATGCACCCCGGGCTCGGAAACGGGGCCAGCCGGGCCTCTGGACCGCGGTCTCCCCGAGGCAGGGGGACGACCCCCGCGGCAGTGCCACCCGCACTCTGTCCGCCCAGGGCCCGACCCTTCCCGTTCGGCGCCGCGGCCTCAGCCCCGCTTACTCTTCGTTCTGGGGCCGCTTCCGGTGCGCCCTGATGACGTCTCCATCGGCGCTGCGCACGCTCTCCCTGCGTCCACCTGCTCCGGCGGCCTTCGACCACCGCCGCCGCGCCGTCCCAGTCGGCGGTGGGGCAGGGCCTCGGGCCCGAGCTCGCGCGGCACCCGGAGCCCGCAGACTGACCCGCCGGGGTCGCGGGCGCCGGGAGCGCGTGGCTGGCGCCGCTCGTGACGTCACCGCGCGCGCCGACGAGGGTGGCGCATGCGCCTGGGGCGGCGCCGCGGCCGGGAGGGCGTGGCTGCCCGAGGGTGTCTGCGCGCTGGGTGCCCTCCGCCTCCCGTCGCGCAAGCTGGAAGCGGGGAGTCGCGGCCGGGGCGCGTGGAACCTTTCGTGTCTGTCTTTCTCCTTTGTAGCTCTGAGTGGTGAACTGTCAGACATGGATAGAGATGCTTTCCCATTTTTGTTAACTTTTTTCCCCTTAATTGATTTTAGAGGGAGAGGGGAGGGAGAAACGTCTTGAGCGAGAACATGGACTGGCCGCCTCCTGCACGCCCCCCACTGGGGACCGGGCCCCCAACCCAGGAATGGAACTCGTGACCTCTTGGTGCAGGGTCGATGCTCCACGCTGAGCCACACCGGCCAGACCCACTAGTGGTTTTGAGTAAGTTCAGTGGGGAGGCGATGAACTGCACGTGACACTCCCCTGCCCCCCAGTTCATTGCAAAGATCTTCCCGTGGACGAGAACCCCACAGTGCACACCGTGGGCGCTTAGCGTGTGCAGTGAACTGTGCCCCGTGTGTGGGGTTTCTTCCCAGGGCTGCTGTGGGCTGAGCACTCTGGAGACTTTTCACAGATAAGCGCAGAAGGATTAAGCCTCAGCTATTAAGAAAGTGCATGTCTGGAAATTAGGACCCTTCTAGGAGATTTCCTGCCCTTTAGGTGGAAGAAAAAGTCATGATCCTAAGGAAACACCAGCAAACCTGTAATGAAAACAAGCAAGGTTTCGTTTTCGGTGAAAGTTGTAAATCCTCCAAGTTTAAAAAAGTCGGCGTGTTATTTCATATATTTCATGTGTACATATATGTATATATACACATGCATAGGCACATACGTATACACACCTGTGTCTGTACATTGGTCTGTATGTACGCATGCAGAATTTTTTCTGCGTTCCTTTTAAATGACCGAACCCGGTGGGTTTGAGAAGGATGAGCCCTTGTCTGTGACACGGAGTTGACAACACTTACTGCTTCCTGGGGGGGCATGGAGCCCGTGGTGAGATGCGCCCATGTTAGAACAGGACCTGGCACTGAGTGCCACCATTGTCTGCATCCTCACAAAGCTGAAGCTCAAGGTGAACGTCCCAGGCCCTGCTGTGCCCTTGGTCTGTGCGCTGGTCTAGATGTGGTGTATTGACAAGGAGAGCCGGGGGGTGGTGCTGGGCGGAGGGGGACCCGGACACAGTGGCCCCTGGCGGTCATTCCTCAGGCTCACGATATCACTGGAGAATGCCCCCCCTGACAGAGTGAAGAGACTGCTGCAAGGTGTCAGGGCTAACGGGACACTCCTGCCAGGCACAGCCTTTCCTGCTGGCTAAGGGGGGCTCTGGCTACAAAAATCAAAGGAATGATGCTAGGAAGACACCTGGCAACCCTGTTCTTTTCTGCTCAAGGGACAGCACCACGCTCACAATTAGTTCAAGACCAGCCATCTGGAATTCCGAACAGCAGGGACTACCACGCCTGGTACGGTGGTCAGACACGTTTCTGAAATCCACGTTTCTCTGTTCAACTTCCGCAGGCCACTCCTGAGGGCTTTCTCGATCCCAGGCATCCGAAACACAACTGATAGATTCCTCCAGTTTCCCAAAGACAAAGGTCGCGTCTGCTGTGAACCCTGTTTTCCTACGTAATGAGGCTCCTTGATGCCTGAAGAAGAAGTGGCTTTAATATTAACCTGGACATTTGGACTCTGGCAGATTCTATGGGCACTTATTATTTATTGGTTTGCTTTTATCCCCGGTAGATCTTGGACTGTGGAACAGTAAAGCCGCCCAAAGTCCACAGCAGGAAACCCGAGTCTGTCACGAGGTGGCACCCTAACACCAGGGCTGAGTCAGCGGACCGGCTCCCTCCCTCTTCAAAGGATCACAACCCTGCGCCCTGAAAACCACCGCCTTCCAGGGGTCTGGTTGTTTCTCTGTAAACGATGAACTGGGTTTTGATCGCTACCTTTCCTGCCAGAAGGAACAGTTACGGAGTTGAGTGGTTTAAATAAACAGAAGTTAAAAGGAGAGAGAGATTATGAGAGCCTTTGACGACATTTGTCACGAAGGTGGAGGTGAGGGATTTGCAGGTGGACTGTGCCTGTTTCAGGCGGGGCTGCTTCCCGGGAGGTGAGGGGTGGATTTCCACTGCCGCTCAGTGTGTTTGCTTCTGGAGGTGCCCTTTTCCCTTTTACTATGAAATGATTTTCCGCCCAGTGACCTCGTTATTACCAGGGAAAGAGACAGTCGTACCCGCTGAGTAAATAATTCAACACCGGGCAATGATGTATTGACACGAGCTCACAAATTTCATGGGACAAGTGTCCTTTACTGTGTTTACAGAGGTAGGAATGGAGACAGAGGAAGCTGAAGTTACTTAGCAAAATTGCTACCAATTAAGCTGTGCTTATATATTTTTCGACATTAGAGAGTATCTGGTGACATTTATTCGTGACTGCAGGGTCAGGAACCACTTGATTGCAGTTGTCCCTCCTGCCCCTCGAGGAACAGCAAGTGCTTGGTGGACAGGACAGCGGGACGGGGAGCTGCCTGTCACAGTCCCTCATCCACAGCGCGTGGACACTCGGACTCGAGAGGCGAATGTCCGAGACCCACTGGGAGGCAGAGACGGGCTTCCTGGTGCTGCCCAAGTGGTGCCATTCCAGAGTCACCATCCCAAGCCTGTGGCCTGTTCCCAGGGGTGCAGCCGCAGGCCAGCTCCAGCCCAGGGGTCCGGGGTGCGTGAGGTTCCAGGAAAGGAGGGGCATTCTCTTAGGAGGAGGTTGCTCTCTCCAGAGTTTCATTCTGAACTGTGAATACTCACACTGAGGGTGACAAATAGAGCCTGCAGGTGACAAGGTGAGCCGCTCCCCTGGCAGCCACCCCCCTGGCAGCCAGCCCTGACTGTGGAGACCCCAGGGGAGGACATGAAAGGGGGAGACGGGACTCAGCACACAGTGCATTGATTTCACCCTTTTGCCTTCACAGTGACAACATGGACAACGACGGAGTCCTGGCAGCTTGACTTATCTGTTGGGTGTAACTGGGGAGAAGGGAATTGTCTTTCTTTCTTGCTCCCTGGTCCCCCCTGGCATCTGCACCGACTGCTCAGGGGCCGGCAGGAGCCCATGGTGCCCCCACCTGCTCCGTGTGCCCCGAGGAGGCTGACTTCCCTCCCTCCTGGAAACAGGAGCTTCAGCTAGTGTCTCGCGGTGTTTGGAAGGTTGTCTGCCGTTAGCTCAAAATCCTGAACGGAGAGCCAGTCCTGACGTAACGGTCGATGGGGGGCACGTCAGGTCACCCAGGTGCCAGGAAGCCCTTCCTTTTTTATTTCTTTTTTCTCTTTAATTAGGTAATTGATCAGCAACATTGATCAGCAAAAATGATGCCTGGTTGACCATATTCTGGGATGAAGATCAATAATGTTAATTTTCAGTCCATCAGTTCCTGCCTCGGGCACTAATTGGAAGGGATAAGGCTGTGCAGGGTGTCGCTGGGTGGCCGGGTGGGACCCAGGACAACCAGGCTCTCAGAGAGGGTCCAGGAGATTCGATTTCATCAGCCTATGCGACAGATGATGAAACGGGGAGACAGACTCTGAAGACAGCGGTTCCGGAGCTGTTTCAGCCCTCTGGGCCGAATGCTGGGCCTCATGTCCTGAGAGGGAGACGTGAGGGAGGTCCCCGCTCCTCACACCCCAGATCCGAGTCCCCCTTCTGCCCCAGGCAGACGTTTCCTTCCCCAAACCCCAGAACTGGCGTTTCCACAGGGTCCTGCGATGATCTGAGCAGCTCTGACCCTGGGCCTCCCCCCAGGGTCTTCTCGGACCACACCCTGCTTCCTCCCAGACAGCTCAGCCGGACCAAGTACCATCACACCGGCTCCTGGTCACCATGGGCGGGATCGGGACTGGCCCTGTGGCCCAAGCTGGGCCCATCAGAGTCCTTCTCCGGGAATTTGGTTTAGGGGTGTGTGTGTGTGTGTGTGAGTGTGTGTGTGAGAGAGAGAGAGAGAGACCTGCTTGGGCGCCTGCATGTACAACTCGTGTACCTGGGGTCAGCTTCCCCCAGCTGCAGGGCCCCGAGCAGGGAGGCCAGGGGCAGTGGTGGCTCTCCTGGCCTGGTTCCAGCCCCACGGTGAAGCACAGCCTCCGTCCCCTCGGGGTTCCCCGCGGCTCCCCTTGTCATCCTCGGCTGCACCTGAGTGGGGGCCTTGGTCGGCGTCCGAGCGTCCACCACGGCTACGAAGTCACACTGGCTGGAGGGGTGTCCTGGAGCACAGGCGGTGTCTGCTGCACTCACAGCCCGCCGGCCACCTCGGTCTCCAGGCCCGAGTAACCCCGATGCGGGCACTGGCGCTGCCGCGGGCCGAGCAGCGGTCTCCGGTGTCTCCGGTGTCTGCAGGCCCCCCTCTCTGTCCACACCAGTGGCGTAAACTGGGGAGCCGGGAGCTTCGCTGACGTAAGGAGCAAGGACAAGGCCTCCGAACATGCTCCGTCAACGATTCTGTCGCGTGGGCCCCGCGCTCGGCAGCACGCCAAGGGCCACGCATCTCACAAACACAGCCGATGGCCAACGTATTTCATGCCCGATAGGTCTTTCCTTAGTCCCTGCCTCGTACGCTTCGGAGCGGGGATGACCAACTTCTCACCTGCCCGACGGGTCTTTGTCTTCCACGCTGCCCGCAAATACCTCCCGTGGACCCGGCCTGCTCGCTCGGGAATCCGCCCTCGTGTCTGCACAGGGCCCTGGCTTGGACGCTCCTTCAGTTGTAACCGAGTGGGGTTTCCCTTGTTATTGTTGATGTGTGTGCCCGGCTCCCCCACAGCTGTCGCCATCGGGGCAGGTGCC